ATACACACACACATATACACATATACACATACATACATACACACACATATACACACCCCAATTGTTTTGTAAAATATGTAAGAGGATGTTGCGGCAAGTAAATAGATACCAAACATGTCATGCTTCAAAATTGCGCACGCTCATGGAATGGCGTGAAACTGCGGCACTTGAAAATCTCCATGGGTGATGCTTTAAAAATTGTCACGGGGTTAGCAGTGTAAAGTTAGAGGAGGCCTAGTGCGAAATTTATGGCTTTTGCTCAGACGTTCGTGGCGATACCTCACATGTGTGGCTCGAACACCATTTACATATGCCTACGTATGTGTTCAACACTATGTGCAAGCACGGGGGCATGGGGGCACGTTAAACTTTTTAAAAAAATGTATTTAATTTTTTTGTTTGCACTGTTCCTTTTAAAAAAAATTGTAATCACTTTTAATCTTATCACAAGAAATGCATGCATCCCTTGTGATATAAATAATTAGTGACAGGTCCTTTTTATGGGGTCAATAAGACCCAACATCTCTCCTCTGCAATGTAAAGCATTACAAAAAAAAAAAAAAAAAAAAAAAAAAAAAAAAAAGCATTGATCTAGGGGCTTTAAAAAAATAAAAAATGGCCGGAACCGGAAGTGACATCACTCTGGTTCTCCAAGGGCATAGAGATGGGTGGTGGCCATCTTTCCTTCTCTCATCTCTATGCCCAACACCGGGATCGATTGTTTGTCAGGTAAGACTGAACAACCAAGCGGCTCCGGTTGGGCGACGGCAAGGAGCGAGGAGGTTTTTTTTTCGGCACCTGTATCGGTGCTTTTTTTTTTTCCCCATTTCACGTTTCGGCCACTGGAATTTCAGTGCAGCCCTAGTAATTGGTTAAGCTAATCACATAGTACAAGTAGTCAGTTACCATGAGATTGCTGTGGGCCAATCACACATCACAACAGTAAGCAAGCTGTTCATGAATGTAGCCCCAGTCATGACAGGTTGTTTACATTGTTATCATGTGATTGCTATGACCAATCATAGCAATCACTAGATACCTGGTTACCAGTAACAGTGATCCGCTGTGTCTGGATGACACAGTGGTCTCAGGAAGGGCATGCTGCTCACTCCTAATTAGGTGCAGGCTCAATTACATATACACACACACACACACACACACGTGACTGAGCCTACATGTGTCGCCCCTCTGCAGTAAATGTACTGTTCAGGGCAACAAGTGGTTAATTGCTGAATGCACCTAATGACATCATATGTGACGGAATGCATAGGGCAGAGCTATATACCCACGCTATCACGCATGCCCGATGGTCATCGTTGTTTCTGGAAATTCGGATTCTGGCAGGTTTTTTTTTTTTTTTTTGGACATGCGGTTTTACTTGGTTGCTACGCAAGTGCATTTACCTAACAAATTGTTCTTGTATGGCGGTTTTTATACTATGTGGAGTGTCTTTTTTTCATTGCATGTATCTGGTACAATATTGATCCTGCTGACCTGATCCTAAGTGGTGCTGAGGAGTTTTCAACAAGCTGTGGAGGAGTGTTTAGCTTTATTATGATATCTTTGGGCATTATGGAGTAACGGTAGTATGGAAGAAGACTGTCTTTTATGCCTGGGGAAGGCCGGTTTTCTAAAAATGAAAAAAAAAAAAAAAAGAAAAAAAAAGTTCTTATGACCGTTCCTTGGTAATTTGTTAAGCCTTGCATGAAGGCGAGAGATGTCACCTTAGCTATATGTGAAGTTCAGTTTCCATCACGGCATTTGGGAATTTTTTTCTCTATGGCTTTCTAAATTTCAACTGATGGACACTTTTATGGATTTCCTTCTCTTTGTTCACTTATAAGTTTTTGGTTTATGGTATATCATGATTTGCACTTTAAAGTCGCTTTATTTGTCACTCATGAATTTATGATTATGACATGATTATCTACTTACTTATTGTTGCTCATAATACAGTAAATATAATTGCGTCTCATTACTTTTGTTACTTACGGTTTTGTGCCCCCCCCCCCCCCCCACAGGGATATATCTGTATTACTTTATTTTTTATTTATTTTTGCATATTTTCCTCTGGGCGCTGCACTGGGTTGTATACACATTTTCCCATACTTGGTATCAGGGTATAGTGCTAGCTACTGAGTACAGATTTTCTAATTTTAAAATTGCTGAATGACAGCTTATTGGTGGTGAATCCCGTATGTTTGTTCTATTTGAGATATGATGATGCCAATTAATTTCCGAGTACAAAATTCTGAAAGTTGTTCCCATTCCTTCTTAAGATCGTTCTCTAGAAAGTCACAATCTAAGATGCACAAACCTCACGAGGATATTTTGGAATGGAGAGAACGTTATATTATGCATATGGTGTTGCACCAAGCAGTCTCAATTTGGCTTTTAAATTTACATTTATCGTTTGAGCTTTATTTTGGTCACTTATGAGGCAAGCTGCACCTTATGGTCCTGCCTGGCAATCTCATCTATTAAATGTGTATGTAAAGATTACTCCTATACCAGCAAGACTGGCTTGAGAAAAAGGTAGAGTAGCCATACCACCTCCATGCCCACCAGCATTTGACATCCCACAGGACATTCCTCTAGCTGTCTGACTGACTCACATGGCTCCCTGAGTATTTAAAGGCTGTTGTAAGCACAGAGTCTTTGGACTCGATCACCTCTATGTACTGTTGAGGTGTGGATGACAGCCCCCAGAGGATAAAGTTCATATGACTTGGTGCATGATTGCTTATCAAATGTGAGCTGCCAATTCTTGTTTTTTATCAATAAATGTAGTTTTTTTATTGCACTTAGATGCACCTTCTACTGCTCCTATTTAATTCATCCTCATTACTGAGTGCAAAGTGGTTGAGTCTGCTATAATCACTTGCTCTGTACCAGACTGATAATAACTGCAGGAAAAAAAAAAGCAGCGTGATAAACATTTCTGGGAGAATTTTGTACACAGAAGCATCTAGTTGTAATGATCACAGGAACTGGCATTTTTAAAAATTGTTATGTTATGATGTATTGACAAATTCATCAGTGTCAAGTGCTTATGTTTAAAGTTGAATTCCAGCCATACAGTTAAATACGGAGTATGGCCAAAGCTTTTTTCGTCATACTTCTCCTCTGGGTCACAGATGTGCAATTACTCTTGCACTCCTGTAACCCAGAATCAGACGCCACAGAGCCAGTCCAAGCTCTGCAAGGATCATGGATGTCGGGACCCACTTAGATATCTGACCAGCAGCTGGCTCAGCCTCTCAGGATGCCGCTGGGAGCCTGAGCCAGCTGCTCCAGCCCCCTCCCCAGCACGGCAGTCCACTGTACTATGGAGGGGTAGAACAGGGAGCCGGTGACTGACAGCCACCACTCTCTTCTTAGAGCAGACCAATAACTGAGCAATCATGTGACTGCTCAGTTTTCAGTCCTAGAATTTATTTTTATTTCCCACACTTCTTTTATTATACAGGCAAATTGCATAGAAGTGAACCTTTACCTATTTAAAATATTTGCAATTCTTTTCAGTCATGTCCCCCCCCCCCCCTAATTTACTCACTCCTGACACATGTTTGTTACTACAGTACAAGGGACAAGTGTACACTATTGTACCCTCTTTATAAACAAAGCTGCTGCTCAAAGTAGAATGTAGTTTGCACCTAGAGTGATTGTTTTAAAAAAAATTATCAGGGCTAAGGAGCGTGGGTCAGTGTACTTTTAATACAATTCACTGGTACATTAAGATAAAAGTCATCTCCCTCTCCCCAGTCTGAGTGCACAATCAGAGAATAGCAGCACAGTGATGAGGTTCTCCCTTCCTGTAAGCACTGTAAACGCTCTGAAATGAAGTCTTATTGGCTGCTTTTTCTGGTTTCGTTTTGGATGTTAAAATTAGTTGTATTCATCAGATAAAAGTCCATAGAGAGACTAGGTTATCCAAGAAATGCTAAAACTTTGCTTTACTCAGAATGTCAAATCTATTTCTTCTGTAATCACCTCAAGTGCCCGCATACAGTATCACACAATTCTGTGCAATTTCTCTTGCCTTACAGAGAACTGTACTCTGAACCAGGAAACTTATTGCCTCATGTTCAGAGCCACTGAGAAAAATAGAAAATGCCAGCAGCTTTGTGAATTTAGAGAACTGGGAAGCTAAGCATACAACACTAATGCCAGGATAAAAATAAAAGCTGCAAAATGGATTATTGTTGACCCTGATTTAGGCTTAAATGCAAATTTTTAATATTTGAATTGATAGTATATGTAAGACGTATATGAGGTATGTAGGGTACTAGCCATAAGAGTCGTACATTTTTACGTTTACTGTGACAACTATAAGGAGATCGGAAAAATAAGGACTCTTACATACAACATTGCAATGAACAGGGATAATGGCCAGCGATTGGACCAAGACATATCTAAATTCTTCAATTACTGTACAACATCTTTTATGGTCACATGTAAACCCGGAAACTTGGTTTTGGTATAGAATGCCTGCATTTTTTGAGGGGGCTGAAAGATGGTAAAAATCGGTTAATCAGCTGCCTCCTACCCACCCTATTAATGGGACAAAAGGTATAGCTGTCAGCGATCATTTGCACACTTGTCTGAATAGACATCTTTAACCAATATATTGTACCATAAGTATGTCTCCAGCAACAGGTAAATTGTCCTCACTATTTTGAGTGAATAAACAGCATTTCCATGTTAAAAGACAAACAAAAATAAGAGTCATTAGAGCATTTGAAATCACTCTGTAGAGCAATATAAAAAAACTGTACACAATTTCAATATGCCAAGTATGCATAAAAGAAAAACATATCTCATGCACAAATGATATTGCATGCCATATCTACCTACCCATTTTGTGGTTTATCACCCAGGTTTTCCATTTGTCCTCTTCTCTGCACATCAGCCCCATCGTGTGCAGCCGCATTAGCATACTGGTTGACAGCTGAATTGTAGCTGGCAGGCTGCCGTGGGACATTAACTGCAGCTTTAGTTGCACTTAAAGCAGGTGACTGGCCATCTGTGGCAGATCTATAAGTGGCATGCACTCCAGATGTGGTGGGGGGAGGTGGGTTGACTGCAGACAGCAGGGATAAAGCAGAAGGCTGAGGGGAGGACTGGGTTGCAGATGCTGGGGAAAAGGCAGAGGATGGTGATGGGATTGAAGCAGGTTTTTAAAGAGGATGGGGCTCCAAATGGTCTAGGTGCTTTGTTGTAGGTCATATTGGCTGAAGTGGTGACTTTGGATGCAGCGGGTGTAGCGGGAGTTGCAATAGGCACAGGCTTTATTATTTCTTTAGGTGCTTCCTATGTGTAAAAAAAAAAAAAACAAAAACACACACCAACCACATGCAAGAAACTCAGCATGGCATATCCTTAAAATGCACAGATGTCTCGAATTTTAATGTACCATCTGATGGTAACTAATTCAAATGAGTCAATAGCCCCAGAGCAAAAACTCTAACCTTTCAAAGCCCCAGTTCCCATGTGAAACATAAATAAATGCAATCTTGTGATAAGAATATCATGTTATTATAAATCGCACTGTACTAAGGCTAACCATACACGCTTAGATTTTTCTCATTTGAACAAAATTAAGGAATCTACAGTGCAGGCTATTGCATTTAGACTGCAAACCCCATATCCATCTGAATACCAGAACAATCACTGCATCTGATTGGATAGTCATTGTTTAGCCAACATTTTGTTGAGCTGGGTGAGGAGACAACACCACTCACAGCACATTCAGCTGATTCTACAGGGATAGACCAAAATTTCTAGCTGTGTATGGTTAGCTTAAAGCAGATGGTACACTGAGGTCTACCACATCTATGCAATCAAATATGTGCATTGTGCAACATCTGGAAAGCCCAGAATTCTGAAAGTAACTGCCTATTACTGGAAATGTTAAAACATGGTTATTACTTGTATTGCATAGTTCCATTGTTCCAGTTTGGACCAATGTAAGTATGCATATATCTCAATACCTGAGCAATCCCTTTCGAAGCTGCAAATCACTGTAGTAGTCAATGATTTTTAGTCTATGTAGAGCAGCTGCCCTTCTGCATAGTAACTACAGGGGGTTGCTGGCTCGGTACTGCCACCATTCACAGAACGCATTGTATTTTTTTTTTTTTCTCAATTAATACAAGGTGTTTTTTGATTGGACAAGGGAGAGATCATGACTTTACTGCCCTACATCTCCACCTTGTTCAGTCAGAGAAGTCCTTGTTTCTATTCAAGTCCTGCAAATGGATGTTGTTACTATGCAGAAGGGCTGCCACTCAGCACTGTTATCTCTATGGATGCACCGATACCCTTTTTATCAGTAAGTATAAAGTACCGATACTTATGGTCAAGTACTTGCCGATACCGAGTGCAGATGCTTTGCGGTGTGATTTTTGTACATACAAAATGAATGGGCACAAATCGCACTGAAAAGAATGGCATGCGATTTGAACAGGAATGTGGTGCAATTCCAGTCTGAATCGCATGCAGTTTCCCCACGCTCCTGTGTGAACCCCGGCTTGCTTGTTATCGTGATTTCAGCTTGGGTTCACACAGGAGCGGTGCAGAAAACCATATGTGATTCGGACAGGAATCGCACCATATTCCTGTTCAAATCTCATGCCATTCTTTGCAAAGTGATTTGCATCCATTCAATTCTATACCGACGCAAGTCACACCGCAAAGTTTCAGTTATCAGGGGCATTTTCACGAGTACTCATGAAAATACTCGGTATTGGTGCATCCCTAGTTATTACTCTACTATGGCAACTTGTAGCTTCCACAGGATCACTCAGGTATGATATATGCATACTTACATTGGTTCAAGCTGAACCAATGTACAGTGGGGCAAAAAAGTATTTAGTCAGCCACCAATTGTGCAAGTTCTCCCACTTAAAAAGATGAGAGAGGCCTGTAATTGGCATCATAGGTAGACCTCAACTATGAGAGACAAAATGAGAAAAAAAATCCAGACAATCACATTGGCTGATTTGGAAAGAATTTATTTGCACATTATGGTGGAAAATAAGTATTTGGTCACCTACAAACAAGCAAAATTTCTGGCTCACAGACCTGTACCTTCTTCTTTAAGAGGCTCCTCTGTCCTGCACTCATTACCTGTATCAATGGCACCTGTTTGAACTTGTTATCAGTATAAAAGACACCTGTCCACAACCTCAAACAGTCACACTCCAAACTCCACTATGGTGAAGACCAAAGAGCTGTCGAAGGACACCAGAAACAAAATTGTAGACCTGCACCAGGCTGGGAAGACTGAATCTGCAATAGGCAAGCAGCTTGGTGTGAACAAATCAACTGTGGGAGCAATAATAGAAAATGGAAGACATACAAGACCACTGATAATCTCCCTCGATCTGGGGCTCCACGCAAGATCTCACCCCGTGGGGTCAAAATAATCACAAGAACTGTGAGCAAAAATCCCAGGACAACACGGGGGGGACCTAGTGAATGACCTGCAGAGAGCTGGGACCAACGTAACAAAGGCTATCATCAGTAACACACTACGCCGCCAGGGACTCAGATCCTGCAGTGCCAGACGTTTCCCCCTGCTTAAGCCAGTACATGTCTGGGCCCGTTTGACGTTTGCTAGAGAGCATTTGGATGATCCAGAAGAGGATTGGGGAGAACGTCATGTGGTCAGATGAAACCAAAATAGAACTGTTTGGTAGAAACACAACACGTCGTGTTTGGAGGGAGAGAATGCGAGTTGCATCCAAAGAACACCATACCTACTGTGAAGCATGGGGGTGGTAACATCATGCTTTGGGGCTGTTTCTCCGCAAAGGGACCAGGATGACTGATCAATGTACAGGACAGAATGAATGGGGCCATGTATCGTGAGATATTGAGTGCAAACCTCCTTCCATCAGCAAGGGCATTGAAGATGAAACGTGGCTGGGTCTTCCAACATGACAATGATCCCAAACATACCGCCCGAGCAACGAAGGAGTGGCTTCATAAGAAGCATTTCAAGGTCCTGGAGTGGCCTAGCCAGTCTCCAGATCTCAACCCATAGAAAACCTTTGGAGGGAGTTGAAAGTCTGTGTTGCCCAGCGACAGCCCCAAAACATAACTGCTCTAGAGGATATCTGCATGGAGGAATGGGCCAACATACCAGCAACAGTGTGTGCCAACCTTGTGAAGACTTACAGGAAACGTTTGACCTCTGTCATTGCCAACAAAGGATATATAACAAAGTATTGAGATGAACTTTTCATATTGACCAAATACTTATTTTCCACCATAATTTGCAAATAAATTATTTCCAAATCAGCCAATGTGATTGTCTGGATTTTTTTTTCTCATTTTGTCTCTCATAGTTGAGGTCTACCTATGATACCAATTACAGGCCTCTCTCATCTTTTTAAGTGGGAGAACTTACACAATTGATGGCTGACTAAATACTTTTTTGCCCCACTGTAAGTATGCAACAAAATTCATACCTAAACAGTTTAAAAAGGATTCTTAGCTTTGCATAGACTTGCTGAGCAGTGCCATCACTTGTACGGCTAATGATAATCCTTACTGAAATTACTCCCAGCTCAGTCAATGGAAACGTTTCCAGCCACCAGGGCAGCCTGAAGATAAGCATCTGTCTATCTCTGCCTTTAGATCATGGTTTCTAAAATTCCTCATACTGCTGAGAACTGACTCCCCTGATTCTAATGTATCTATTGGTCAGAGTGGATGCCATGACAGTGACAATCCAATTTTCAGTAGCTTTATTTTGCTTGATGTTGGATGGAATAGCATTAGGTGTAATGGTTAGTGCGTAGTCTGGAAAACCCGCAGAAGCAGAATTTAATAAAAACCTACACGCAAGCCCGTTTTATTAACACAATTTTATTGATGATTTTATGCTAGCATTCACGTTATTCTGTCCTCTGCTCCACCCTTAGCAACATCTGTTGTGCAGCAACAAACACAAATCTGTCTTAGTTAACTGCTTAGCACGTCTATGCAAGCTATGTCATTTTGAACATTAGCTATTTAAAACACAATTGCAGAAACTGGACTATAGCCAGACCATAGTTAGATGCACAATTGCTTCATAAAACTACTATGTTCAGCAATAAAAGCAACTCTGAAAAAAAAATTTGCTTAAGCTATCACCAAGCATTGACCCATACAGTTGGTCCAATAAAAGAAGCAATGATTTATAAATGACTTAGATTTCAGCTGACTAAATGCCAGCAAAGCATGTTATTTAAAGAATGAGAATCTTGTATCAGAAAAAAAATCTGCACTATAGCAATAAAAAACATATGTTTAATGATTTCCTTACAGTAACCATGCATGCCAGAATCTGGAATGACTATGTGATCAAAATATATTTTACATTTATAATGAAACACCAGCAAACAAAGTACATGCCAAATGGATATTTTGGGAGAACTTACAACTTGTGCAGGATTCTGATTGGTCTTTGAAGCAGCTGCAGCTCTACAAGAGAAAAAAAAACAAAAAAAGGTTATATTCTAAACAAACCCCCTTTTTCATACATCAGCCTTAGTTTTATTTAGGCTGCATGACATCTGTGCATTCTGAGAATACGCAATGAATGCATGCCCTGCTTGCGTTGCCATTCATTATGGCACCCTAAAATGCAACCAGCAGAAGTGTGCTTTCAAGAAAACAAAACAAAAAAAAAAAAAAAAAAAAAACACAAAGCTCAATGCCCGAAAAGGTGCAGGAGCTTCTTTGGAGCATTTGTCACATAGGCCAGCCCATTCAGGTGCACAGGTTGCCCTATGCTTGTGAGAAAAAAAAAAAAATGCACACTCACATGATGCTAATGTGAAATCTGTAAAATGGTGAATCTAATGCGCAATTTATAGCAACACAGAGAGTTGGTTGTTACCTTAACATGTTTGGTGCTCTATGCCAACAGAAGAGCTAGCAGAAAAACAAACTTGGTTTGCATTAGAGAAAGATTGCTCTTGAAACATGATTTAACAATAGCAAGGGCCAATACAATTTTAAGCCAAGTGAAATGCTGTGCCTGAGGCAAGACTCAGTCAGGGACTACTGGCATCATACAGGATCTCTCACTCACAGGGTACATATACAGGCCCAATGCAAAAAGGTACAATAAACAAGCAATTCATCTAAACTGCAATGCAGAGCTGGACATACACAGAACAAGTACTCAATTGGGCAAAGCTCACTACAGCACATTGTTAACTTTACTACTTTTTTTTTTCCTGCAATCCTTAGACAATAAAAGCACAACAAAAACTAAACAAAATGCATTTTTTTGTTAGTTTACAAATAAATCAAAATTACTGAATATAAAACGTGCACATTTTATTCTGTTATATGTCCCATTTCAAGTGACACCAAAATTATGATTCTGGTACAAAGCATCGCAAAAGTAATTTACAAATTAAAAAAAAACAAAACGATTTCAAAAACGGGAAATGTGTAAATATGTGTTAAGTATGTAAAATACTGACAAAACAAAAGAGTTTCAATATTAATAGTTAAATCAAAAAAAAAAAAAAAAAAAAAAACAGCAGGAAAAAAGTAGCAGCTGAAGAGAGGAGACTAAGGAGTTAGGGCTGATTAGCGTAAACCAAGGGTAAAATAAGGAGTTTAAAAAAAAAAAAAAAAAAAAGACTTACTTGTCAGGTTCCTTTAATTGATATCATTTGCACATATCATTTTCAGATCTCAATACATCCCTTTGATTTGCAGATGAAAGCACAGAATGATACAATAGTAACAATATGTTACTTTGCATCTTTGTATAACTGTGTCTTGGGCAGTTTAAATTTTTTTTTTTTTTTTTTTTTTTTTTTTTTTACACACAGCTACCGACACTTCTGAGTACACAGTAATGCTGGCTTTGTCTAATCATAGCCTGCAACTAGTTAAGCAAATCAGGTTTGTCTATTGTTGTGACTTAAGCCTTGTATCGCACAAATGGGCCAAAAACTGACCAACTTTCGGCCCTGTTTATACAGCTGTATGGAAAACAAGCATCTGACCCGCATCCAACCAGCGCTTGGCCACAAGTGCTGATCAGTGTGTTCTGGGGGCAGGGGGGTAGACCCTGTCAACAGCACAGTTGGGGAGATCGCCATACTTACACCTCCTGTGTTAGTATGGCAATCTCAGTTTTTTTTTCCCTGGTTGGTCTAATGCAGCAGGGATATGCGAATGACTTTGCAAATGGGAATAGGAATTCTAGTCTCTCTTGACAACCCTGTCCCTAGCACGGTTTCCGTGCCTAGTACACCTACACAGACCAACTTATGTTCATTGGAATAACCCTCCAGGTCAACGGAAGAACAGCTTCTCGGAATACTAGAAAAGAAAAAAAAAAAAAAAAAAGGAGTATCCTACTAGGTCAAAAAATTATCGTAGAGAAAGTTATATTGTATATCTATGGAGAGGGAGTCATCCACAAAACACAATACTTGAAAAGCTCATTTGGCTGCACTTCTGTAGATCACAGGAGTGCAATTCGTTTCTGCACTCCTGTGACGTGTTTCAGCTGACAGCAAGCAAAAGTCTGCTGTTGGCTGGCGTCACTCAGCTGGTCCAGGCTGGGGAAAGAGCACGACTTTAAATTGGGATACACCCAGATGTCTGGACCTGCACCTGACTCAGCCTCTCAGCTGCTTCCTCCCCCTCCACAGCCCAGAGCTCCAGTGAGTGCTGGGGGAGGGGGTAAGGCAGACAGCAGTGACTGACAGAGCTCAAACCGGCAGGGAGAACAGTAATCAGTGGTGTCTGATCCCTCAGTTGTCAGCCTTAAACTAGCATGGGACAGATGCAGCATCGGACCGATAATGCATCCACCTGGGTAAGCATGATTTTAAAATAAATAAATCCCATACTTTTTTTTTTTTTTCTTTTAAAAAAGGGGACAATTCCTCTTACCTCTAAACCATCTAGATTTAAGTATTAAGTTTCTAATTTCCTAACACAGAAGTCCTCTAATAATAATTTCACATTGGTAGATTTTTGTGATCAGCTGTTGGAAGTGTCCACATGCAAAGTTATGTCATTTAAAACGCTATTAGTTGTGCTGCCATAACACTTAAAATGAACAGTAAAAACATGCTCCATTTCTTGCAGCTGACAAATGCTTTTACAGCAGAATAAATTTGCTGAAGGGAACTTTTCAAAAAGTATTAAAAAAGGAAGACAAGAAATGTCTATACTACATATAAAAGCAAAGAAAATAAAAAAATTACTATTTCCACTTTATCTGGTCCATTTTATGCTCATGTTAAAAAGGTTGTCACATTAAAAATGAAAAACAAAAACACATCTAACACCACTGCTGACCAGCAGAGCTGTCCGTTTACAAACCCTGCATATCCACTGTACACATTGATTTTTTTCATGCAAGAACTGCTTTCTAACTACAAAAATTCAATGGGAATGCAAATGGCAAGCTTAGTCAAGGTCAGAAGCATCCTAAACTGAACCTAAATGCAAGCTGAATTCACCTGTATGCTTGCTGCATTTTTATATCCACGATGTGTATCAAAAAGTTTTGAGACTAGTTTTGTAACACGCCAACAGATGGCAGCACAAGGCTGCACACACAGTTACGGGGATCACCAACCTTCATAAGACACTGTGCCAAAAGACACTGTCCTGTGTACATCGGGAGCTATGCAACTAGTGCTATTCTGACCACGTGCATTACCACGTCTGCCATTTCATCATGGACAGCAAGCTAGAACAAAGAGCAAACATGAAATTCTGCATGAAACTGGGCAAATCGCAGGATCTCTGCAATCTTGTCAAAACATCTGAGCTGGATCTTCATCTTGGGGAAGAGGGCATTTTTGGGGGTTGAGCTCATTGAACGTCTTCTTGATCTCTCATCTTCCAGGGATGTTGTTCTGTTCTTGAAACACCTCGAACAACTAATTGCAGCATTGCCGTAAACGTGCTGAATCATGTCAAACATCTCTAGCAGATTTTCCCAGTTTCATGCAGACTTTCACATTTGCTCTTTGTTCTAACTTGCGGTCCATGATGAAATAGCAGACGTGGTAACGCACATGGTCAGAATAGCACCTGTTGCACAGCTCCAGCTGTACACAGGATGATGTCCTTTGGCACACTGACATATGAAGGTCAGTGGTCCCTGTGACTGTGCGAACAGCATTGTGCTGCCATTTGTTGGCATCGCAAAACTTTTTGATGCCACCTCATAACCAAAACAGCCCTAAAAATGCCATTACTCAAAAAGATGCCAGACTTTCTTCAATATGGCAGAGGCATGCCCTTGGGTAGCGAGTGATTTCTTATACAGGATAAAGCTGGCTATACACAGATGCCTCCATTGAAGCTAAACAGCGTAGATGGATGACCATCCCCCTGTGATTATTGTATTTTCACAATCAGCCCTGCCAGCCGGCAAATTACCTAAACAGCAGCTGCATCCGACAGGCCAACCACGGACTGTGCCTCATGCTAAACCTGTATCCAACGTAGTGGCATCCTTAATCAGCAGACATTGCAAACTTTTACAATGGGTTCAGATCTGCTTTAAGGAGAAGTATACGTCTTATAAACACATGCTCGTTTTAAATATGCACACACTGAAAAAGCTGCTGACAAGCTAAAAGACTGAAGTCCACCCTCTTAAAACCCAGCTCAGTGTGGCAATGGAATAGTTGTGCAAAACCTGGATCACAGTAAGCTTTAGTACTGGGACAGTTTTTTTTATCCCAATATTGTGAATGCGATTAAAAGCAGAATTATAGGCAAAACTTTATTTAAAATTTTGGCGTAAGGGAGGGTTATAATCCCTGTCCGTTTATTTTTTGCCACGTTGAGATGGCCCTTCACCTTTTGTGCCATAGTCAAAACAGGAAGTGAGACATCTCTACAAATTAAGGGAATTCCTTGGGGACCCCCAGATCACAAGAACTAGTGTCCCCATTGGAAAATTTACCCTCTATTACTTTTCTGGGGACAACACAAGATATGGAGTTTTTTACTTTCACTCTCAATTTCAAATGGTAAACAGGACAAATATAGAGACTGAATCTCCACAACGGGGGGCACCTACTGCAATAAAAACCTCACAGGTGTTTTAATACCTCTCCACCATGTCCAAAACTTGGGGGGGAAAAAAAAGGTTTTGCCTTTAGTTCTTCTCTAAGAAAAAAAAGTGTATTTTTTAGAAATATTTTAGAGAAATCTGCTAAAAGTAGTCTGTGTTTACACTATAATATTCATACTGACTGATTAAGCACAGTGTATGCTGAAAAATTCACATATGACTTGTTATTTATTGAACATACCCAATTTGCAGAAAAGAAAAAAAAATCTCCTCGCACAAAAATATGCCATTCAATTTATCATAAAGAATTCCAAACATTAGAGCACACTGCCTTATTAGGCAACGATGAGAATAAAGCTGGTCACAACTAATGCATTGCCAGCCAACGACTCATTTTGAATCACATTT